ACGGATGCTCTGAGGTAAAGTTTTCAGAATGCAGACTCAGCAACGATTGTATTTAATTGTACAGTACAATAACATAGAACAGACATTATCTTCATTTTCTGTCATTAAACATAACAATATTGCTGGCCATACACTGATGAGAAAGTGCGCGTCCGGTGTTCGATAACGTTACTGGAGTTGTCCTAAACGTGACGCGGCGCTTCTCGTCCGGTGTGCGACCCCCTTTACAGCCAACAGTTCACATTCCGAGAATAAATGAAAAGAATATATGTGCTCCATTCCATAACAAATGCGCGAAACAAGCTGCCGTTTGATAGGCGCTAACGCACAACTACAACTACCGCATTTGTCCAGGACTACACGTAGTAAGAGCGGAAACCGAGGTAAGCGGATATGACGCGATTGACTCGCGACTCCCAGCTCACCCCTGCTGACACGTGCCGTTTCCTTGGTTAAAATCTAAATTTTCTCGCGATTTAAACATTGTTTGAAACATTTGGAATATTGTGAGTTATCATCTTTACTAAATATATAACACTGGCCTTGTGATTTTGGGATATTTTAATGCAAAAATCTTAGGTATTGCACCTTTAAGGCAGAGTAGATTGTCACAGACAGTCATTTTTGTCTTGAACACTAGTGGACAAAATATATCATGTGTTATTTAAGTATTATGTTTAAACTTACATCCTTAAGCTGCTTTGTTATAGGTGATATGATCGAAATTTAAGTCTTTATGCATAATTACACATCAACAAGTTTTGCTGGTCACTATATCAAATTAGTTCAGTTCACACATCACATAATCCTCAATAACACCATATGACGAATTAATAATGTTGACTTGTGAACATTATTATGAACATAGGGGTAGGCGCATATAAGCATCCTTGCTTCAGCCTACATTATTATGTAATCTTAAGACTTCTGTAACAAACATGATTGTGAATAGCTCAAATAAATAAATAATAATTAATAACTCCAACTACTGTAGGCCTATATCCAACATTACCCGCTTAAGCACAGTACAATCACAGAAAGCCATACTGTATAGTAAATCCAACTGTGTATATCATCGCAAAATGTAAACTTTATTATCGCCCAGCTCTAATCTGCTAAATTTGACAAACAATTTTCACTATTGGCATACATATTACTTGGATATTGGCTGTTTATTAGTACTTACAAAGCACATATTAATGCCTTATTCTGCATGACCATATTCTACATCCCTTAATCCTATTAAATACCTAAACTTAACGACGACCTTACTAACTGTGTGGTGAAAATCAAGCTTTTAATGTTGTTTATGTGTCTATGTGGTGTTTTTAATATGCTTAAACCATGTGTAAATTCATAAGTCAACACCATTACTGAGTATATTTCATCTTTAAAACTGCACTGAAACAAAGACCGTCTCAAAAACACGGTTTGAAATCGCTGGTGTTTCTGACGTCACAAACTACCTTTTAACCAATCAGGTCGACGTGTGACTTTAATAACCAATAATGAGTAGTTTATTGAGGCAAAAGTATTAGTGAAATGTTAGTTAATAATGAGAATTGGACCCTCATCTAAAGTTTGACCTAAGAGGCTGTACACATTTGGATTGTGAAAGTGCTGTACAAAGAAATGTAACTTGTCTTTTCGAAGAGAGACAAAATAAGGGCTTAGGTGGATTAAATAATATTCGAATTGAATTAATAAATGAATGAACTTCCCAGGGAAGTCTTTTAACTAATCTATAAAGAGAGGCAAATCTTGGCAGAGAAGTGGCAGAATCACAAGTTGAGTGTGTGTAGAACGAGGTCCATTAAACAGCCTCCATTAAGGGCCGTGGCCGTGTGTGTGCTCTCCCTCGCTCTAGATGTGAGGAGTGTGCTACTGATATTGAGATGCTAATGGCTTCAGTACAATTATCTCACCATTTGAGTAAATGGACTCGGCCATGCGTGTGTGTGATCGTCTCGGAGAATGTGCTCTCCTGTACGTGTCGGAGCGAGCGGCTTCCATGAATATGGAACTACATCAGATTCGGTCTTTGTCGCAGAGGGTCATTATGGAAGCAAAAGCTCCACAATGAGACTTTTTTATTGGGTGTCAAAAGAACAATATTGAGATGGGGTCTGGTATTAACCATTCGTTTTTATGAATTGTGGGGATGTGTAATGTGCATGAAAGCAGCAATCAAACATTTGGTTAAGGACAGTTCTGTTGATCTTTTAGATTCCGGATACAAATTGCTCCTACTAAGGGAAGGGATTTGAACAAATCCTCATTAAATAAGGCATCCCATGCAATGATAGCTCAAATTTTAGCTTACACTCTAAAAAAATGATGCGTTGTCTCAACCCAAATTTGGGTCAAATATGGACAAACCCAAATGTTGGGTTAAAAATGCAATGAAAGTAAAAGTTGAAGTTAGGTTAAAATTTAACCCAACATTTAAGTTTGTCCATATTTTACCCATATTTGAGTTAAAACAACCCAGCATTGTTTAGAGTGTACAGGCTTTAAAAAAATTGTGTGTGTGTGTGTGTGTGTCTGCGCAAGGGCAGGGGATTCCCAGGTTTTTGGACTCTGAAATCTCACTGCAGCCTCTATACTCAACATGCGTGTGTGTCGGCACGGACACAATGGTTGTCGTCACATAGTCTGGGCTAGTAATGTGCTGAGAGAGAAGGGAAAAAAAGAGATTGTACATGAAGATGAGAGCAGGTTGACTCTTACAATACTCTCATTTATTGCGCTGAGCCTCCCAGGCTCCCAGGCCGTCAGCCCCTCTGTCTACAAGCCTCGGCCCAGGACCGGATCTCCACCCTGGGGACACACAGACTGCTGACGCCCCCTCTCCACACATCAACACATCAATCACACACTGCAATCCTCCAAAGACATGCTCAGGGCAAGGACAGTCAGATAAGAGATGGCCTAAAATAGCATTCAATATAGTTGGGGATCTTCATCAAAAAAACATTTCAGATTACCGTGTTGAATAAACTAACCCAGTACTTTTCAGGTATTTTGCTTTGGACACACTGTTTTGTTTGGACATAGAAGAAAAGGTTCTGTATAGAACCTTAAAAGGTTCTATCAGCGTTACATATTTGGAACCCCTAAAATGTTCTATACAGAATCCTTTTTAAGGGTTCAATAATAAGAACACTTTAGGGTAAAAGGTTCTATATGGAACCTTTTGGGTTCATTTGTTTTGTCCTTTCCGGATTAAATATTTCATATTATTGACAAACATCAAGACCAATATATTTATGAATGCATGTGAATGATCACAAAATTCAAGATATGGGGGTTGGAAAATGTATATATTTATATCATTTTATGTAGTTAATCAATATCACATGAAGAGTGCCATTTCAGTTTTTCTCCTCCAAAAATCAGCATGATTAAAATGTGATATTAAGTAGAACAGTTTAATAAACAATAATTTAATTATAACTACAAAATGTTGCAGAATAATGTAATATATAAATGAATAATAGCCTATAAAAAACCTTTGTGCCAAAAGGGTTCTTTCTTGTCATTATAGAACCTTTTTAGCATTAAAGGTTCTTTGGAGTTGAGTAAAGAACCTTATGCTTCATATAGAACCCCAATGAACCCTTTTTTCTAAAAGTGTATAAAGAGAGACACATGGAGTCTCGGTTTCACCCATCGGAAACATACTGTACAGTAAAAATGCTTTTTCTTGATCCAGCATTCTCTTATCTCATTTCCGAGACTTTATACACAACTCTTTTTACCAGTCTTGGATTTACAGGGTGACTGGATTTTTAACTTTGGACTTTTCTTAATTGGATTAATAGTAACTAAACTTACAATGCCCGACCCAAAAAGCCGCTGTTTGGATTTAAATACACTAAAACCAATTAGTTCAGTTTACTTAATTTTAGCATGCAAACTCGTTGCCTTAATTTCATTAAGTAAGCATAACTTAATTGCATCAAGTTATATTTACTTAATCCATTTAAGTTTTGTCAACTTAATTCTGTCTATGATCTGAGGAAGTGTACTCCCAGAGTGCATTGCGGCATTGTTTTACTATTTTTGGCTTTATTTTACCATTACAATTTTATTTGCTATCGTTATTGGGGTAAAACCAGTCAAGTAATGTTTACAAGGTTTTTCTGAGTAATGAAGGCATGCATGCAAACCGTACAGATTACTAAGAAAATTTGAGTAAGTTCAACTAATTATTGGACAAAAAAAAAAATATTAGTAAGAACAATGTTAAATTTTTAGGCAGATGCTTAAAAGCTCTTTGATTGGATCATTATTACAGATTATTATGTTTCTAGCATTGTATATTTGGAAACAGTTCCAGACCTTAAATTAATTGTAAGTCATTGGCATGTGCTGGAGGAGACTTTACAGAGTGCTGGACTCTTGCATTGTTAATACAAGATCTTGACCAAAAACTGATGCACCTCTTGATGGAAACAAATGTTGTGATATTCTCTTTAAGTGAATTTAAGGTCTCAGAACTCTGAGGGGAAGATTCATGAGTGAAAATGATTCTTCATGCTCCCCACAACCATTCTTACACACTTTGAGCCTGATGAATCCTGACATGGTCATCCTGGAATATGCTCATGATGTTCATCCTACATGATTTTTTAAGAAATGAAAAGCTACACACTCCAACGATTAGTGCTAGAAGAACTGTTGACAAACATATAACATGCTAGAAACATAATAAACACTGCAATAATGATCCAAGACTCTTAAGCATTTGCCAATTTAAATCCAAATAGCATTGTAGATATTTTTGCTCTTTTTAAATAATTAACTTTAATTGGTTTTGAAATAATATTCATTTACTAAATAAACCTAAATTTCTTATTCCAATACTTATTTTTTTACTGGATTTTGTGGAATACCACTGGGTTGATTGAATACCATGTTCTATGATTATGCTATGAACTATTTCAGATAAATTTACTGTATTCGATCATATTGTGACCTGTCACTTTTCATTCCAGTTAGATGGCCTTTTCCTGCCCAAGTGGGATCTATTCAGCCTAAATAATCTGCACACCAGACCAGACAATCAAATGTCTGGTTACACGAGGCTATCCGGATTTCAACATACATTACCTCCAAGATCACCAAGAGCGTGTCCACTGTGTCTTTAACTAAACACAACTTTAAATATCTCTTAGATTCAGAGTTTGAGTCCGGAGTCTGCTGCCATATTAGTGTGATTTCTGTGGTCAGGCATTTTGAGCTTCTGTTTAACATGCTCTATGTGTGTGTGTGTGTGTGTGTTGATCAATTTCTACATATGATATGAATAAAACACTCAATTAAATCTGTGGTTACACTTAGTTATTTTAAGGTTTTTAGTAGTTTTGGGGGTTTAAGCAATTTAGCAGTTACTATGGGGTTAGGGTTAGGAATAGGGGTTGGTTTAGGGTTAGTTGCGTCTAATTATGCACATTTTATAGTAATTACTACAGTAAAAGCAACATGTTGGGTCACAATTTAGATTAGGGTCCGGTTCTCACTATTAACTAACTATTAACTATGACTTTTGCCTCAATAAACTCCTAATAACTGCTTATTAATAGTTAGTAAGCTAGTTGTGTGGTTTTAGGTATTGGATTATGGGATGTAGAATCTGATCATGCAGAACAAGGCATTAATATGTGCTTTTTTATATAAAACGGTTAGTTCCAATCCTTGATTCTGATCTTTCTGATTCTTTCATGCATATCACACACTGGAACGTTGTTGCTGTTTATGGTCAGGGACTATTTTTTCTAGCGAAATGAAGGCTTTTAGTCCCCAACAACGCCCTTCAGCCGTTACTTATTCATGATACAGCCTCGAGGCTGTGCTACGTGAATACGTAACGGCTGAGGGGCGTTGTTAAGGCCAATTTATACTTCTGCGTCTAGGGTACGCCGTAGTGTACGGCGTAGGCTACTCATATAGGTGACATCGTGGTGAGGTTGGTTGCTCTGCAGTACTACTCCAAAACGCTAGTTGGCGGCGGATGGTTTTAATGTTACACTGTGTTTAGATTCCTCGCGGCTAGGTTACCACAAGCAATAGCGACTGAAAGAGAGCGTATCATGTTGGAGTTGGTTATTGAGGTGGAAAAACAGTTAATTTTAGTGAAATTCCTAAAACTAAAAGGCAGAAACGAGAGAAGACGTCGGAGGAAATGATGCGTGCGGAAATGCGTAGGAGGAAATGCGATGCTACCAAGCCGACCAATCACAGATCTCGCGGTCCACGTAGTCGCGACGTAGTTACATTTTTGAGGAGGTGCCCGTCAGGCTAATGCGAAGAGTACGCGGTATGGTACGCCGTACCTACTGCGCGCACCCTACGCAGAAGTAAAAATGAAACGAATTAAGCGGAGTAATTATTCACGATACAGTACTTGCCTCGAGTACCTTATTGGTTTTATAAAACAATTACCACACAATAAAAATATTAAAGTAAAAAAAAAAAATGTATTAGTGCAACTTTCATGAAGTGAATCACTAAAAGCCTTCCTTCGGCTAGAAAAAATAGTCCCTGACCGTGAACAGCAACAACGCTCGAGTGTGTAATATGCATGAAAGCTCAAATAAACACAACATAGGAACTGCAGTGCTGCGCAGTGATACATAGAGCCGTTGGGTGAAGCGGTCATAGCCGTGTTTTATCATGAATAAAGCACAGCTATTGACCAATCAGAATCAAGGATTGGAACTATGTTAATAAACAACTAGTTATTAGTGAGAATTGGACCTTAAACTAAAGTGTTACCAAAATATTTGTCATGATGTCACCTCTTAGCTGAATTTAAAGTCTGCAAGATTGCAGTAAAGTGGGGCAAAATTGCATATTTTTACATTTTGGATGTTGAATAAAGAAGATGTGTGCTCAAAGTCTAGTGTGACCGAAGCCTAGGACTCGGACTACAGAGTCGAATGCATTACATTTATGAGCTCAGAAACTCTAAAAACATTTTCTTAAAGACTAAACCAACTTTTTTTAGTTAATGATCTGTAAGAATGGATCTTTATTAATACCAGTCATTGATTCGAGTAACTTTTTTGACATTTTTGTTTATAAAGTGTTTTATTTCTAAAATATATGGTGTAAAAAAAAGTCTTAGTGCTGCCCTCTTCAGGTTGAACGGTGGCAGTTGAATTTTCCTATTGGATGTTCCGCACTTCGTGACGTACCCAGGTTTCAGCTCACCACGCGAGCTACGCCCTTGGCAGTATAAAAAACCATCTTGTGTCGTCAAAACCACTGTAGGGAGCCAGGAATTGGAATTGTGAGTATTGAAAAGGATCAGGATAGAGTGTTTTAACATCTATTTCGTCCCCTCTATCTCCGCTGGGGTCAGGCCACTTTTTCAGCATTTTCAAATATTGCCAGTGGGTGGAGTCAGGCTCTGACAAGGGGTTTAGTTACCCTTTAAGAAATAATGTGCTGGTTTGAAACAACATGGGGGTGAGTAACTGATGACCAGTAAATCTGGGTGAGCGTTCCCTTTCGGATGTAGCAAACTTTTAAATCGTCACAATACTTAAAAATCAGACTTCTGCACAATCTGTCACGAGTGACTTGAAATAAAACGGTGCATTTATGGACGCTGAGATGGCGGTGTGGTCAATGTAATCAGGCCACATCGAATAAAGATGCTCAGGCATGATGAGGTGGTTACGTGTGTTTGACTGAAAATACTGCCTGTTTAAAACACACACACACACACACAGTAGTTGGACCGGCTGGTGACCTGTTACACTGCTCCAGTAATCAACAGGGGTCTGTGGCTCCAGATGTGTGTGTGTGTAAGAGCGTGCAGGGGTCCCGTGATCTCATGAGCCAATCAGAGAGCCCATAAGGGTCCCATGGAGCGGCACTGTGGGGTTCAACACTGTCCTTCTCCTCATTATCTTCATCACCCACCAATCAGAGAACAGCACTACAGCCACTCTCAACACACTGGACTCAGCGGGGAGGACACACACATACACACGCTCTTCTACACAGACATCTCCTGGCGGAGAACAGCATGTGTCCGAAAACACACTCACATGCATTTCAAAAGCCATCAGTCGGCCACTGAATATACAATCACTCTCTCTCACACACACACACACACACTCACAGGCATACTCTTCCACGAGCCTCAGCAGGGTTTCCAATAGAGCCCTCTTTCTCACACACACTCACAAATTCGCACAGTTCTCTGCAGAGAGAAGCCTTCATTCAGTCAGATACCTGAACACACACTTTCTCTCGCACAATCTTCTGTCTTTTTTCTCCATCACAGACAAATCCTACAGTAATCATTGATCTCTCTCTCACACACATACACATGTAGTGGGTTTTCTTCTGCGTTGTGTTTGATTTTTAAAGAAAAAGATCCCACACAGTGATGTACTTTAGTTTTTCTTTACTCTCAGCCTTGCTGTGTCTGTGTCAAAAGAAATAACAGACACGATCACAGTCAAGCACATTTTGGACATTTCCGGTCTAGCCGTGCCTCTCGCCACAACATCCAGCGAAAGAGAGCTTAACAATCATAGAAATAAATGAAGTAATAAAAAGAAATTTAATTAAAAAATATAGAAAACTGACCAAAGTAAATGATCCATTTACATACCTGTGTCAAAAGAAATAACAGACACGATCACAGTCAAGCACATTTTGGACATTTCCGGTCTAGCCGTGCCTGTCAATCAACACACAACAATGTAAATTCATATACAGAAAATACATTTGAACATCGCATGGATCCTTCAAAATAAACAAATATAACTTTACACAATTACGAATATATAACTCAAATTAAATTCAACTGTACAGGTTAACGAAAAATATATTGTTCTAAACTCACAAGCATACCGCACGTGTAACTGCGGTCATTAATCGAATGTACTTCGATCAAACATACTCTTATCACATTTACAACCCATCTTGTTGATTGCTCAGTACAGAAAAGACAACGATTAAACTCATTACCTACAGAAAATCCTTATACAACACTCAATAAAAAACATATTTATACACTTCTCCGAGGAGCAGATAAAAACGTACCTCTCGCCACAACATCCAGCGAAAGAGAGAGCGCGCACGCAAATTGCATCAGCATTACCCTCACGCATGACGCAGCTTACGTAATAGTGCTTCCTTAATTTAGTGTAAAAATATTTATCAAGAGTGAAACCAAAAGTAATACAAAAAAAATAACAATATACATGTATGAAGAATTGAAAACAACGCAAATTATTAAATTTATGATCACCTAACCATTAACAACTGTGGAGTTTCCAAAACAAAGGTTTTCAAAATAAGAGTCCCGTAAAATAATACTGTTCTTGATTAAATTATGTCAATAATCTAGTGTAACAACATTCACTCGTCACACACACACAACACTGAAATAACTTGGCCATGCAAAACTCCAACACATTCTCACCCCAAGGCGTCACCTTTGACCATGCTTCAATATCTGACGCTTTAGGCGCCCTTTAGCGTCAGTAACATGACGCGATCCTACGGCGTCATATAACTGACGCTAAAGGAAAGCGTCAGTTAGATGACGCGGTTAGGTTTAGGTTGGGGTGGGGGTAGGGTTACACGCGATCCTAGGGCGTCATGGTCAAAATGCTTCCCAAGGCGTCAGTTAAGTGACGGCTTGGGGGTTAGAATGGGCTGAAAACTCACCAGCACAATGTTTAAAGCTTGAATTTTTTTGACTTAAATATGATTCAGAGAAACAGTTCACCCGAAAACCAAAGTCATCATTTACTCGACATCCTGAATGAGTTTGTTTCTTCTGTGGGACATACTGAAGATATTCTGAAGAATGTTGGTAACCAAACAACATTTCCAAGTGCACTTTATCCTATTGAATCTGCACTTGAAAGTGTACTTTAAATCTTACAAGTATATTTAAAAAAACTGCAAATAATAATGCAAATAATATAATAGGCTAATATTAAAGGATTAGTTCACTATAAAAAACAAAAAAAATTGCTGATAATTTACTCAACCCCATGTCATCCAAGATATCCATGTCATTCTTTATTCAGTCGAAAAGAAATTAAGGTTTTTGATGAAAACATTCCAGGATTTTCTCCATATAATGCACTTCAATGGGAACCAAACGGTTCAAGGTCCAAATGAGAGTTTCAGTGCAAACTGTTCAAAGGGCTTTAAACGATTCCAGACTGAATAAGGGATTTATCAAGCGAAACGATCACTCATTTAATAAATAAATCTCCTGTTTGATCTCGCTCATCAAAATGAACGAATCTTTTTTCATGTCATTTGTTTCATTCAACAAACGAAATGAACGAGTTGACTTGGGAAAAGATTCGTTCATTTTGATGAACGAGTTCGAACAGGAGAGTCACGAACGCTCATCACAGAACAGAGCAAGGCAACCATTTGAGCTTATAAAACGTAAACTTTATTTATTTTTTTTAAATGAGCGATCGTTTCGCTTGTTAAGACCCTTATTCATCATCTGGAATCATTCAAAGCCCTTTGAACAGTTTGCAGTTTGCACTGAAAGTGTCTTTTGGACCTTGAACCGTTTGGTTCCCATTGAAGTCCATCATATGGAGAAAAATGCTGGAATGTTTTCATCAAAAACCTTAATTTCTTTTCGACTGAAGAAATAAAGACATGGATATCTTGGATGACATGGGGGTGAGTAAATTATCAGCAGAAGTTTTTTTTTTTTTTTTTTTTTTAAAGTGAACTACTCCTTTAATGCTAAACATGTGCTTATTCAATTACATGACATTTTAAATTAAATTACACGATTGTATATTTCACTTGGTAGTACATTTAGCAGTAGGCTACACTTTAAGGACAATAGAAGTAATTTTGAAATATAAAGTATATACACAAGATTATAAATGTATTCTGTACGGGTCAAAAAAGCACTCTAAAGTTCAGCTCAATGCATGTAAGTGTCTGAGAATATTGCATTCAGCTTGCAGACTAAATGTTTTCTTTTAAATCATCTTACATAAACCACAAGACAAACAAAACACTGAGACTTTCAAAACTGTTCCACAAAATAAAGAAATACTTCATTTGTGCGCACACACCCCTTTAAGTCTACTGAGCTTTGAAAGAGCAAGCTCTGAGACGGTCCTGAATCACAGGTGAAGTGCCCTGAGGTCAAGAGGTCACTATAGGGGTACATCTAAAACCAATACAGTAAATCTCCTCCATGCATCTTCACTGATTAGCAGATCATAAAAAGTGTGTGTATGCAGACCTACTGATGAGGGCACATGTATATCTAGATCTGATGTGTGTGTGTGTGTGTGTAGTCCTCCAGACAGTCTGTTAAAACCTCTGTGATTACCAGCACCTGTGCGGCCCACCATCTCAGCCAATCAGGTCACTCCGTTCGTGGTTGAACACGCAACCAGCTCATCAATATCTAGAAAGCCGTGATGAACCTCTTCCGTCCAGGCGGAGGAAGGACTGAATCCTTGATTGTGCAGCTGTTACTACACTGCTGACAAGGGTCACGACCCACATCTATCTCCAGTCTCCCTCGTTCAGTAGACCATTGTCTAGCAGAAAACACCATAAACCAGCCTCAATTGCCGGTTAGCTTGGCTAGAATCAAATCAGTAAGAAAAGTTACACCCATGGTTTTCAAAAAAGCTTTGATAAACCTCATTTAAAGGGCTAGTCACCCCAAATATTGTTCACCCAAAAGTAAAAATGCTGCCATCATATTTTGAAAAAAGGGTTCATTGGGGTTCTAAATATGAATCATAGGGTTCTTTACTCAACTCCAAAGAACCTTTAATGCTAAAACAGGTTCTATAATGACAAGAAAGAACCCGTTTGGCACAAAGGTTCCTTATAGGCTATTATTCATTCATATATTACATTATTCTGCAACATTTTAGTTGTAATTAAATTATTGTTTATTAAACTGTTCTACTTAATATCACATTTTAATCATGCTGATTTTTGGAGGAGAAAAACTGAAATGGCACTCTTCATGTGATATTGATTAACTACATAAAAGGATATAAATACATTTTCTAACCCCCATATCTTGAATTTTGTGATCATTCACATGCATTCATAAATACATTTTAGCGTCTTGATGTTTGTCAATAATATGAAACATTTAATCCGGAAAGGACAAAACAAATGATAATGAATGAACCCAAAAAGGTTCTATATAGAACCCTTATTGAACCCTTATAAAGTGTTCTGTATAGAACCTTTTAGGGGTTCCAAATACTTAGCGCTGAACCTTTCGAATATTTTCTTCTAAAAGTGTACTACTCTTAGAAGAAAACGTACAAAAGCTGTCACTGGGGCTGTACCTTTTCAAAAGGTAAACTTTTGTCCATTGTAGGTGCTAATATATCAATTTTATGAGCTAATATGTCATTTTAGGTGTTAATATGTACATTTTAAGTGTTTCTACATTTTAGGTGTTAATAACTATGTACATTTTAGGTGCTAATATGAATATTTTAGGTGGTAATATGTACATTTTAGGTACTGATATGTACATTTTAAGTGTTAATATGTCCATTTTAGGTGGTAGTAAGTACATTTTAGGTGCCAATATACATTTTAAGTGTTAATATGTATATTTTAGGTGCTAATATGTCCATTTCATGTGCTAATATGTCAATTTTAGGTGATAATATGTACATTTTAGGTACTACTCTGTATCACTAAGGTACCAATATGCAGCCTTTGGGTACAAAAGTGAACCTTTTGAAGAGGTACAGCCCTAGTGACAGCTTTTGTACCTTTTTCTGAGAGTGTACTCTTAGAAGAAAAGGTTCTAGAACCTTAAAACCTTTTTTATTGTTCAATAATAAGGGTTCTATATGGAACCTTTTTGGGTTCATTCATTATCATTTGTTTTGTCCTTTCTGGATTAAATATGTAAATATTCTATAGGTTCTATGTAGAACCTTAAAAGGTTCCATCAGCGCTAAGTATTTGAAACCCCTAATAGGTTCTATAGAGAACCCTTTATAAAGGTTCAATAATAAGGGTTCTATGTGGAACCTTTTGGGTTCATTCATTATCATTTGTTTTGTCCTTTCTGGATTAAATATGTAAATATTCTATAGGTTCTATGTAGAACCTTAAAAGGTTCCATCAGCGCTAAGTATTTGAAACCCCTAATAGCTTCTATAGAGAACCCTTTATAAAGGTTCAATAATAAGGGTTCTATATGGAACCTTTTGGGTTCATTCATTATCATTTGTTTTGTCCTTTCTGGATTAAATATGTAAATATTCTATAGGTTCTATGTAGAACCTTAAAAGGTTCCATCAGCGCTTAGTATTTGAAACCCCTAATAGCTTCTATAGAGAACCCTTTATAAAGGTTCAATAATAAGGGTTCTATATGGAACCTTTTTGGGTTCATTCATTATCATTTGTTTTGTCCTTTCCGGATTAAATATTTCATATTATTGACAAACATCAAGACCCTAAAATGTATTTATGAATGCATGTGAATGATCACAAAATTCAAGATATGGGGCTTAGAAAATGTATATATTTATATCATTTTATGTAGTTAATCAATATCACACGAAGAGTGCCATTTCAGTTTTTCAGCATGATTAAAATGTGATATTAACAGTTTAATAAACAATAATTGAATTACAACAACAAAATGTTGCAGAATAATGTAATATATGAATGAATAATAGCCTATAAAGAACCTTTGTGCCAAACGGGTTCTTTTTTTGTTATTATAGAACCTGTTTTAGTATAAAAGGTCTTTGGAGTTGAGTAAAGAACCCTATGATTCATATATCGAACCCCAATTTCTTCAAAATATCTTCTTTTGCGTTCACTCAATACAGGTTTGGAACGGCATAACAGGAGTGAATTGAGACATCATTTTCCTTTTGGCATGAACTATTCCTTTAAAACCAGAAGCATTTGGTCATGTTTGTTCAGCTGAACAGATCTGCTCATTAAAAATACTTTAATAAATCAGATCCTTAATGTCAAGCATGCCGGATAAGCCAGAGATCTATTATAAATACTGCATGTGTGCTATCAAACTCAGGAGCCTAAAGTTTCAAGTAACCATCAGTCAGCCTTATAACAAAGAAAGCATTGGGAAATTGTTTTTAGTGTGTGTGTGTACTGTAGATATCCAGATCCAGATAGGCATCGAGATAAGGAATGGTTTGTAGACCAGAGCACTTGACTCTTATTTTTACTGTAATACAGGATGCGGTAATTGCGTTACTCATGTAGATGACGTGACTTGAAAGAGTTCAGAGTTGATGGTGTTTAGCCTTCTACCTCACTTAATGTGGAGAACTAAGCAAGCTTTCATCTTGCAATAAGCTTCAGATGGGATGGACATTGTTCAAATTAATCTTT